GTCCCTTTCTGGGCAGCTGAAACAATACCAGAAAAGGAGAGCTGCAAGGGAGGAAGATGAAGAGTCACATTAATTTCAGTAATAGGGAAAATTTTCTATGGGGCAGAAGAACAGAAGTGATGCCATATTGAGTCAATCTGCAGGTTCACCTCGGTAGCATGAACAGATGCTAAGATGAAGTGTGTTTATGTAGGACCTATGAAGACTAATCTGTTCCTTTCTCCTTTTCCCTTATAGCTCCTAACCATTTACAGGTCTAGGAAATCCTAATTTTGGAAGTTGCAGTCCTACTACTGTGTTTTAATATCCTCTGATTGACCTATCCTGCATTAATTTTCCTAATCCTCTCTTGAACTTGGTTAAATTGTCAGACTACAAAATCTTGTGGCAATGAGTTCCACAAGCTAATGACATGCTGTCTGTATGCGTGTGGACTTGGAGGTGGGGGTGGAATAACACTTTCTTTGTGTTTTAGTTTTAAATTTCCTTCCTAATTGAATTTTATTTCCCCTATATCTGTTATGGCGAAAGGTGGTAAACAGTTATAATAGACCTCCTTGGTCATCTTTTCTCTAAGCTGAAGTCCTAGTTTATTTAGTTTTTCCTTTGGTGAAAGTCTCATGATCATTGTTATTGCTCTTTTTATACCTTTCCAAAAGGATACATTAGAACTAGGAAGTAGGGGGAACAGTATTCAAGGTTGGATGTATCATGGATTCAGGCTCCAGAGATTCTGCATAGGAGCCAGTAACCCTAAGGCAGACACTATTATATTAATATCTCAGCATCAGACATATATGTCATACATGTTTTTTGGAATTGGGCATACCATTCTTTAGACCTCAGTTGTGTGACAGCTGGTGGGCAGCCCCTGGGTCTCAGACACAGTGGTCTCAGGCCTGCCCTCAGATCAGACAGGAGGCAGCCATGGGTCCCAAACCAAGACATTGGGCTGTACCATACTTGCTCCTGGGGATTGGCTATAGACTGACTGTGTCCCCAGATGCAGGGGCAGCCCTCTGCCTGATCCTGATGTCAGGGCTCCCCCGAAGTTGGCACCTTTCCATCCTTGCCCCACAGCCCTGCATCTGGCTGTAAGTCAAAGTGCTGGAGCACGGAGGGCCTATTGGCTCCTCACACCTTGGCATGTTTTCAGCCTTGCCTTGTACCCTGTATGCATCTCCTTGGCTCTTTTAATAGCCTTGCCCTGCAGCTTGCATGCAGGGTCCAGGGCAAGGCTAGAAAGGTGCCTGCAGCTATATATGAGGCTGCAAGCAAGACTGAACATGGCACATTTCCAATCAAAGTGCCCTACAAACCTGCCACAAATATGCTCCACATGAACGCCCCTACTACAAGTTCAAATTAAAGCTGGGTAGAAACTAGCTATAGAGTTACACATTCTCAAGCACTAGCTTTATAGTTGGTTGGCTCTTTGTGTAGCTGGATAGTCATTTTTAGCATGTTATCATTACTTTGCATGTGTAACTGGTCTAAATTTATTGTGCAATTAAACAGTTAAATGTGTAATATTTTTAATAAGTAGCAGGGTCCTAAATGTCTCACATTTTTATGGTATAATAACTTTGTTGAATGTGTAACATGTTACAATTTGGTGTGTGATAAAGGTAACATCTGCCAGGGGCCTAAGCACTATCAAAGAATGCACAGAATGACAGACTTCTCTATCTCTTCTTTCATTGATTTTTAAAAGACATTAGACAACCTGCACAGACATACATAGCTGAACATCCTTCAGTCCTGTGGAATCCTAACTAAAGTTATCAAGATCATCAAGGTCTTCTGCATGGATAAAGTATTTTGTAACGACCAATTACCAGTAGCTAGAGCAGTTCAAAAAAGATGTGAAACTGAGCTATGTTTTCTCTTTGCTGCTGTCAAATATTACCATAGACTGGATAACAAAGAATTGTATAGTCAACACAAACACAGGCAATAGTATGGGTAAATGGCAAGTGTCCAGAACAGCAACTTAAGGCCTGGGGGTCAAATCTGGCTCACCAAGCAATTCCATTCAGCCTGCAAAGCTGGGACACTAACAGCAGCATAGTGGTAGTAGGGAAGTGGTGGCACATAAAGCTGTAGACTGTCTGCAAGTCAGAAGCTCCAGGATATCCTTGTTTTGACTCAGTACCACTCCGGACATTTGAATGAAGCAGTAAGTTAAGTATGTGGTAAGGTAAGGCTGATGTTGTAGTGGTGATAGACCCAAACTTTTGTGAGGTCTTTTGCTTCTCGCATAGAAGGTCTTGCATTCAGAAGCTTGTCTAACTCCATCCCAGCTACATAGTTGGTCCAGTAAAAGATATCACCCTAACAAATCCTTGTCTCTTGCACGAAGTAAGGAAAGGTATCTGGCAAAATATATTTGGGGTGGAACTTTGCCTGAAACATCATGAGACTGTCTAGTTTGACCATTTCCCCAACCTTCACTGGCCTCTGAGAACAATGCAGAGCTAGTAACTTGTTGAGACGCATCACATGTAGTCAGCTTTTCCTGTCAACCTCAGCTGGTAGTGTTGTGCATTATGACAGTAACAACAATGGTTAGCTGTGGGCTTGGCAACTACATATGCAACACACATTAGATTACTTGAGTACAGAGGTATGTAAAATGAGCATTAACGTCCCTGTTTAAAAATACAACATTTAGGTAAGTTTAAGCTAATATGTGTATTGCTCCTGAAGCACCAATACTTGTTAATCAACATTTCATTCTCAAAGATAGAATTCAGAAAGAGAAATTCCCTGAGCAATGGAATGCCCCCATGTTGCTCAATGCATGGACCTGTTAATAGGTTCTGACACTGCAACCGTTTCAAAATGAAGAGAACATGTTTTAAAAAAATATATATATTCTAGAACTGGTTTGTATTCTTAGATTTTATAATGAAAAATATAATTTCTGACGCTGCTGGAGTGAGCAGCAAGATAAGATACTTACTTCAAAGGTTTTCCAGCCTCATTTATTTAAGAATCAGAACATTAAAAAAAAATCATGCTTTAGTATTTGAATGAGAGCAGTTTGTGGCTACACTATGATGTGCACAGAACTGAGAGATGCTTTACAGTTTATTTACTGGCCATCAGGCTGGTCCTGGTGTCCGGAGCTAGTGCATTCAGATATACAAATTGTCCTTGGAGCTTGCAAAGGTTGCCATGCTCTCTGAATGTGGTTTAGGCTGCAGCTCTGGCTTTTCATGCACCCCTTCCTTGATCATTTGGTATGTTAAGGAAGCTGGTTAAAGTGAGGTGTGACAGAGAAGTGTAGAGAACAGGTGCTGGGGAAGGAGCAGCAGAGGCCCCAGCAGGTCACCTGTGCAGTGCATCCAACATTAATTTTGGAGATTGTGGGCCATGAACATGTGCCCCCGGAGGCTGGGGGGGGTTCACAGTGACCACCTGCAGGTGGTGGCATGGCAGCGGTGAGCGGGGAGCTCCCACAGGCAACCACTGCAGTGTCGACAGCAGAGGGATGTGGAACGGTGGTCAGTGACCACCCACATACACCGCCAGCAGATGCTGGCAGCGCTTCTTTCAGGGGGTGCACCCCTTATACGTTGCCAATGTTGTCGGCAATCCCTTGAGTGGAGGATGATTTCTATTGTGGGTCTTGAGTTTACTTAAGAGTCCAGTCTTTGAGCCACAGATCTGTCTGCAGAAGTTCCAAGTCTTTCTACAGGGGAGAGTATGTCTAGGCTAGGATCAGGGTTTGAAATACGGGGGAGGGTTGGGGGGGAATGACTGAGTCCCCCCATAAGAGATGACAATCTCCCACCCAGCACCTTTCTAAGCAGCTCAGGTCCCACTGCTGCAGACCCCACAAAGCAGGAGTGTAATTCAACCTGGCTAGGATCCCTCTCCACCCTCATGTTCCCGGTTGCTGCCAGCCTTGGCTGGGGCACCCCTGTTGCATACGGCCTCTGCTTGGCCCACACGCTCGTGGGGCTGCTATCTGCATCCAGCGCTTGAACCAACTGTCTTTGCCCAGCGGTTTTTAACCTTTGCAGCCCCTCGGCCCTTCATTTGCACTCGTTTTCTCGCCACGGAAAAGTAATAGGGCAGCTCCTCCCAGTGCTCCCAGCCGGAGGCCGCGCGCAGGCGGCTTTGCACGGGAGGGTGCGGGGAAGGAAGCATAGAGTCTCCACTCGCGCGCTAGACAAGCCGGGGGTGGGTGATGTCGCTGTGTGCGACGGCGCCGCCATTTTGCTTGTGGGCAAAAAAGGGTCGTCTCGCCCCTTGCTCCTCCCCGTCCCACCCTTCCATCGCGCGGCCCACCCGTTCCACGCGCTCAGCCAACCCAGCAGGGCGGAGTCAAAGGAGCTCGAGGGAGGGGCTGGAGGCGGAGCAGGAACCCCGCCGGGACAGTTTGGGGGCGGGGGCTAGCAGAGGGAGGGGCGGAGCTAAGGGCGGGCTGCCCGGCCGGGGGCGGGGCC